GGGGCTGGCCATAGCATGTGATCTGATGGAGGGATGTCCTGGAGGCAGGCTGGGGACTGCAATGTATCCTGTTGGTGCTGATGGCACTTCGAGCTTCAGGTAAGAAGAGCATCACATGTATGCAGGGAAAGGGACTCTGCACAGTCCTCCTGAGATCCTGCACAGCCCACCATAGACCCCACCATAAACCCTGCACAGATCTCGAGACCCCGTACAACAACCTGAGACCATGCACAGCTCTAATGAGACCCCGTGTGTGCTGTATCCATGACTGACAGGTTGCGCAAAATGTCAGGATGGGGTGGGGAAAATTTAGATTGAGGGGGGTGCCCGAGTTTAGTCTTGCCTAGGGCAGCACAAAACCAAAATACACCGCTGGGTGGGACATGATACCAGTGCTGGGCCAAATCTTGGATGTTGCTGGAACATACACCCTGTTTACGTTTGCTTGCTGAAAAGAAGCTATTTAAGTTGTACTGTTTGGAAGCAAATACAGTTTTATTCACTGATACGGGCTGGCTAAGGATCCTTCAATACCCTAAATGTTACAATGAGTATTGGATTGAAGTGACCTATGTGGTTATGAATTCTGGGGTATTTTTCTGACACCTATTAGAACTGAGGAAGACACTTTGTATAATTTCGCCTTTGCAGAGTATAAATCTAGCCATACTTACACTGCTCAAATTTCAGTTAAGTCTTGGTAAAAATGCGAGCAGTGTGTAGCCTGTTGTCACCCCTCCATTTGGCAAAAGACCATAAAGGCCTGGTTCACACCTGAACGTTTTGTAGTGCGTTCAACGCTCGACGAACGCTCTACAAAACGCTCAAACATCTAAATCCCATTGTATTCAATGGGTCTGGTTTACACCTTGCCGTATTTCCGCCCGTCCGAACGCGGTACAAACCGGCCTACGCCCAAAGAAGTACATGTACTTCTTTGGGGCGTTTTGGTCTCGCATTTCCATTGGGATACAGCCAAGTAGCCCTTGGAAACGCCTGTTTGTCACGCGTTTTTTTACCGCGAAATGCGCATATTCAATACACTTAGGTGTGAACCCAGCTTTATCAATTGACTTGTGTTGAAGAAGCCGGTCCTAAAATCAAATGTTTTTTTCTTGTTCTGCCAGGGAAAACTGGGGGCAGGAAAAGCCATAGTATTCATATAACTGCACCAAACATCTAATCATAAGTTAAAAAAGCTCTTGTTTTAGTTCCCTTCATATGATTGGTTGTCGGTGTTCACCTCTTTGGACTTCACCTCCATTTACACTTTAGTTATCCTGGTCCTGTACCCTTAAAGGGCCTTTATAAACAATGGCAGAAGGAAAAAAAAAACAGAACTCTGGCAGAAAAGCAATTTAAGTAAAGGTTGTTGCTGCATCTATTAAACAGTAAGTGTAAACATTCATACATCAAGCGGGTGATTATGGTGCTTTAACAGTAACTAGCATTTCATCCACGATTTACTGTATGCAAAACATTTATATGCATGCTGCCCCTGTTTCCAGCCCGGAGAGTTATACGTTAATATGCACAATGATAACACAGTGCTTTCCTCTCCATTAAACACAAATTACCCTGATCTTCAACTTTAAAGCACTGTGACCTCATCTAAAGGAAGACAGAATAAGGCAGACGCAGCATGCTACAGCTTATTGCTATTCGCATTTGTAAACAAAGTAAATAATATGAAGGAGGAATTTTTCTACAGCCTGCAAAACTGACTTGTTATAAAGTCAGTATAAAAACACCAGTTAATGTAGCTAAGTAGTCCTTAAAAATAATTAAATCTATTTTATATGCAACCAGTGTAAGCACCTGATGTTAAGTCTCTTGTAATCTATCCTGCACAGTAGAACTCAGACTGGGAGAGGGTAGGGCAGTTCTCAGAGCCAACCAGATGTGCTTCCAGGGAACATGCTGTGTGGCAGGACTGTTCAAATTTCAGCACCGGAAAAAAGGAAACACAATTTCTTTGGCTATTTTGGACATAGCATCCACAGTTGAGGTCATAATGAAACATATTAAAACAGACAAAGAGAAATTAGAAAGCAACACACAGGTGGAAGTGGGACAGAGCAAAGTAGAAATACAGGACAGATAGGAGTCTGAGAGATAGTAGACCAGCTAACAGCAGACCAAAGGCGGCTGAGGATTGTACAGAACCTCCAACTTCACTCCCTATTTGGTAAACAACCATATACAAGATTTATTTGCCTAAGCTCAGCTAAATGTAATCAGAAAGGTAGAAGGATGACCAGGAGCGGAGTATTTTGTATTTACTGGTGTGGCTTCATATTGGAGTATCTGGGCACACAGAAAACATAGGAAAACCACAAAAGGAAACATGCTGGAAGGAAGATCAAATTTGGACCCTTAAAGACATAAAATTCATCATGGAAAGGAAAGGGCAAAGTTAAAGTTGAAAGTTCATACTGTGAAATCTTTTTTAATAGGTTATCTGTTATCCAAAGACCGATTATTTGCAGCACAAACATTCTGTAGACAATGGGGGGGTTATTAAAACTGGAGCAGATAAAATGTGGAGCAGTTGCCCATGCAACCAGTCAGCTTCTCTCTTCAGTTTGTTCAGTTAAGATTTGAAAAATGAAAGAAAGAATTGGATTGGTTGCCATGCACATCTGCTCCAGATTTGGTCTGCTCCAGTTTTGATAAATTCCCCTCAATGTGTTTCATAATTATATAAACTAAAACCAGTGGACATTACCATGTGGAATAAAATGCACTTATTCCTATGAGTATTCCCGCAGAATGGCTATCTAGATTGGAGAAGATAATACTATGTACTCAGTGAGGCAACCAAGGATAACATACTAACTTGTGTAACTTATTCATGAGTTGTCTGGGTGGAACAGTATCAAACACTTTGTTGAAAATTAGATGAGCTATATCCATACAGGATGACCTCTCCTCCGTAAACCAATGACCCTTTGCATCTTTAAAGCTGTTTGCATTAACATCAAGAGACATTTTATTTCAAACGAAGATGGAGCTGTATATTTTACATACTTCAAGATAAAAAAGTTCCAACAGCCATACATTAAAATGTACAAACCCAAACTAGCTATATTAGCCAATCTATGCTAACCTTGAACAAGCCGACTTCTTTCAGGATCCTAAACTGAGACATCCCTGTAAAAAATGGGGATTATTCAGAGTTATTCTGTCATCCACAATAACCAATGTCCTGTCTAAAAGCCTCCTTTGCGCACATTTCAGATCTAGTTTAAATTTTTTACTGAGGCATGACTTCAGAGGTAAGCCCTGTTAGCTGATATTCCACTGTCCAGTAAGTGTGCCTCAATGGTCAGTAAGGCTGCTGTTATTGGCCAGGCCGGTCAGAGAAAGTCAAGCTGATGTAACATTGGCGGAATATTTAACTATGAAGTTCAGGTTTATTTTTATTAAAGCCCCCGCCCCCAAAAAATAATAACTTGTCCCACAAGTTATTGGCCCAGCAATCTAAATCCAACTCCGGTTTCTCACTCACCAACTGTCTACTGATTGTTTACATTGCAGGAGTGCCGGGGAACCTGGCAGACATCATTGACTAATGAGGTTGACCAGAATCTCCGGCCACTTTGTTCACATTCAGTTGCTGGATGAGAAAATATCAAAGCATCGTTTAAGCTATAGGTGCTGTTTTTGTCGGCGGGTCACATTCATTGTGACTGCTGATAGATCTACATCGCTGGACAATGTGATTTCTGTTGGATTTACATTGTCATGCATTTTTTTTTTCATTTAACAAGACTTTTTCAAATGTGTAGTGTGTTTATTTGCTTTTCAACTGTTCTCTTTGAACCAGGGGTATCTGAGTAACCAGTGGTACTATGTATTCATTCATGTAGGGGACTAAATATCTGGGGCGCCCATTATCTTAAAGGGGGCTTCCAGATTTTAACTTGGTATCCTGGATTTTGAAGGGGGGGGGGAAGGCCGATTTGTTTACAAAAAGAACAAAGCTGGATGGGGAATGTCATTTGACAGCTATTTTACTTTCCAAATGTCAAGATGTGTGTACTTTCTAACTTAAGAACAGTCACCATGTTTTCTGCATAGTTGTAAAGAGGAACGTCACTCTTATCTTAAAAATTACAACAAAGGGAACCTTAGAAATGTTTAGTAATGATAATTTACTAACGGATATTTATTTTTTTGTTCTTTGCATACCTTATTTTTCTTTCCATCCCCATTCTTCCCACTGTGGCCATTTTCACTAACGTCAGATGAATCCATCTCCCTTTACTTCATATAAAATTGGGTCTGCCTCCTGGAACATGTGACAATGCACATCATCTGAAGTGAAAAAAATGGCTTTCCCCCGAGATCTTGCAAGATTTTGCATTTTACAGATGAAATTTTCCAGGAAGACACTGGTGATGTAGCCTTCCCAATATCCCAATATGTATCTGTGAGGCCAATGCTTCATCCCCAGTGCCTCGCTTAACCAGAAAGTGGAAAAGCAGTAATCATAAGTAAAAGATAAAAAATGTTTGTTTAACTAATGAATGAAAGATGATTTTATATCAGCATGTAGAGCTGCAAGCTGAGGTGAATTTTTAGCTAAAGGGGGTAAAGGTCTCCTTTAACAGTCCCCTCACAGCATTGGCTGTCATTGTTCATTGAGTGCACACAAATATAATTTAATATGGTGCAGAATAAACACATGAACACCAGTGACATTCACAAATACTTTAATAAATCTTTATCTAATTATCTATATAGACTCTTAGTAATTTGAGGGGTAATGGGTTCATTTCTATAAAAATGACAAATTTTACACATCTCCTATTTACAATTTTCCATGTAAATATGCTTAATTAATTATTATAAAACATAGAATAAGACTCTTAAAATATAAGCAAGAGACAACATAATATTAGATTTAGCTTGAGGAATGACAGCTGAGTCATTGCACTGCATCCACTGTGGGTCAGTCCCATCCTCTACCCCCTTGGACGCAGGGGGAAGCATATTTAATAACACTGTTTTGTCCACTGTGTAGGCAACATGTTTATATCACTAGTACTCCTCTGAGCACTTGTCGTGACACAATAAATTAAAATTACAATCTATGTCCCAAAGAGGCAAGTTCTGCAGAGGTTCATATTCAGGTCAGTCTGTGGCATCAATAAAGTTCATATAGGAGAGGGTTCCAATCAGGAATCAGCTTTTGACGATGTACTTGGCAGTCCCGTGTTTGTTCTACTGATTGATCGAAGAATACATTGTTTCTCCACTGAAAGATGCTTTGCTGGGTCCTCTCGATAAGTGATCTTTAACAGACAGAAGACAGAAAAAAAAGCAATCTCAGTTTGACAGCAAGTGATGGGCAACGACCTTCAAAAAATGAAAACACATATAGCAGCATTTTGCTGCGGTTCACTTGACAATTTCACCCTTCAAAGACTCCCTAGTGGCAGCTGTGGGGTTACAGTGGCCAACTGAGAGCTCCAGGTCACTGGCTGTCTTTAGAAAAGTTACGGCTGGCCACAAGGGGAAAGCTTGATTTAGAGGTTATACTTTATTTTTTTTAATCCCGAGGCAAAAAGGAACATTTCTTATACAGGTGTAAATCAACATGTTCTTACTTTTAAGGAAGTTCCCATTAGGTTGGATCTCGAAAGTGAAGAACTAAGATTTTTATATCTCGTTAGAAAAAGCAGCACAGCTTACATCACATGAGATCCATCAATGCATAGGATGGATACAGACAAGTGAACAAGGATCAACATGCACAGGAAGACAAGTGGAGAACATACCGATATTCCCTAATGTACTCAGTGAAATGTTAGACAAAGAGGAAGAGAAGCGGAACAGGCAAGGGTCACATGACAGCTGAGAGAAGAGAGAGAATGAATTAAAACAGTGCAGGGATGACAGTATATGTACATAGAAAGCCTAAACATGAGCTGACATACAATGATAAGGCATCTTTCTGATCATGGTTAAGGAGAAAATGCACTGGATCAGATACATAGCGTGATGTGTACAGTATGTGATGGATGAGTCTGACTGATCTGCAGCCAGAAGGTGCAAAGTGCAGTAACTAAGAGAAATCATCTTAATTGATGTGACCGCAATACCACAGGATGCTGCTATGGGCTACTGCATTTTACACCTCCTTACATCTGTTTGCACTGTCCATCCTGAAAAGGCTTGCACATCTTAAAAGGTAAAGTTCACTTTATGAAAAATAAAAATAAATGCACAAATATTCATAAAAAGAAGGAAGAAGAAAGTGCATGCATTATTTTTTTGCATTGGAGCCAGTAAAGTATTGCAGCAATGGATCATGGGTGCAATGCTCTGGCTCCTGTAGACTCTACCTCGAGTCCCTGTTCATACCGAGGTACAGACATTTAATAACATGGGAGGAGGTGATAATGGACTACAGCTGCGGTGATGTCACCACATTTATATTCCATTAAGAACTGCAAGTCCTTCTGCTGCAGGGGCTGAAGGGACTTATAGTTCCTCTATTTACAGATCAATTGACAGATTGCATCAGATTAAAAAAAAAACAGCAACCTGCAGGGAGAACAATCCTGTGATTCAGGTAAGTGGAGTTGGGGGGTAGGCAGGGGAGTGGTTATGGGGTTGGGGGGAGGGGCTTAACAATGTCAACATGTTTTATATTCCACCCTGAATATGGGTGGAACATTAAACATGATATAAAATGTAGCCTTTAAGTTGTATCTCTAGGCAAAATCTTTTATTTAGGTTTTGATAAAGTGGGGAAAGGCAAGACCCTATGTTAAGTTTTTAATGCTGTTTGTGTTCCCATTGAGCAGATTTACCCCTTTCATTTTCCTGGTGATCACTGTCACCAAGAAAAAAAAGCAAAGGGAACATTTAAGGGCTATCCCCAGAACAAGAGGAAGGGAAATTCTTCCATTGGAGAGACCTGTTCTGGGGACAACACTCTAAGAGGGGGATTCCCCCTCACTTTGTGAGATTTCCTGTAACTTCCTGTCATTTTTGGCATATGAGGTAAAGGGAAAATTCCCCAATTGCAGAGAGCAAAAATTAATCTGACAGGGTTTTAACAATTTCCTCTTCTATCTAAAAGTAAAAAAGTTTTGGTTATCCTGTTGAAAATCAAACCAATAGGAAAAAATTGCAGAAAATTCAAAAATGGCTTGGCCAGCTGATTTGAAAAATGTTCCGGAGGGCTTGGCAGCGAAAGGGTTAAATGATCACTCCATGTAACACATCAATACAAAATGGTATGGCCTACATGTGCATGGATTTTTCTTTATTCCATGGGATTGTTTGAGTATACAGGCCACCACATTGTATTTATAAATCATTACCGGCGACCTGATGTTCTGAAAACAGAAAAACATAGACAGCGCTCTCGGATGGAGAATGCTAGCTAGCGTGCATGTATGCTGCCCTGGAGACAGGAGGAGTACCTGTGGATGCAGATAAGAGGAACACAAAGGGCGCAAAAGCACAGAATTGGAGCCCTAGCGGGTTAGACTGGAGTGTGTGTCACAAAGATTGTACTGCTAAAGACAGAGTAGAACAGTCCTACTGTTCTACTCGAGCTTGAAAAAGAGGTTAAACACCTCGAAACGCGTCGCTCCTGCTCATCCACTACACCCCTGTCCCTTCACTAAGCCGATCACCCGGGATCTGTCAGCTGCGCTCACACACCGACTCCTGCACACCGCCCTCAGCTGCCTTGACACAGACCGAGTGCCATCCCTCACTACCGCGGTCACAGTAGCTCAGTTCGGGCTCGCTAATTTTGGGTTCCACTTGACTCGTCATTACACTGCCCAGAGCCAACACCCCTTCAGCAGCATCACGGACAGAGTCGCCTCTCTCCTTCCACAGCATCTCTCCCAAACAGCACATCAACAGACACCACGAGAGTCCCGATCCTCCACACAGGCCGCCCACATCCTGATTCCTGGATCCACATGTAAGTACCATCACATTTCATTCTCTGCCAACAATTCCTTAGCAGTACAATCTTTGTGACACACACTCCAGCCAACCCGCTAGGGCTCCAATTCTGTGCTTTTGCGCCCTTTGTGTTCCTCTGTTGACCTGATGTTCTGAGAACACCTAACCTCAACATGTGGACACTGGATCTTTTGGATTCCCAACTCCACCAGCCTGAATCTCTTTGCTGTCTAATTATGCACTTTTGATCATGACAAAATAAATGATCTATGGCTCTTCTGTCACACACAGCAGTCCGCAAAAAGCCTTATGTGTATAATGATGTAGCTCACAGTGAAGAAAGTTCATCTGACTGAGACTGAGGTACACCAAACAGACTTCTTGAATTTAGTAAAGTTGCAATCTATTGCACTGCATAAACTGAGCACTGATTAATTTTGTTTGATGCCTGGTGCTGCCCCTTTAGGGACCTATACACTAGTAGATATAGCTGCATGGGCCATTTCAACAGATACATGAAAGCCTTCTATAGACCTAGAGTTTGAAGTAAAATGCAGAGGGCTGTATAATGTGAAATACAGCAGTAAGGATAAATGAGTCAGTCAATATTGATATTTTTCAATTAATTGTTATCCAGGATGACGATAATTATGAACTAAAGGAAGAATAACACACAATAGATATACAATGGTAGCTACAAAACTGATGGTTAAAGCTTAATTCATATTTTTCTTACAATCACCTAGAAATGCCTCAAAAATTAAAAACTCTGTTGCCCATGTCTTCTATTAAGCCACACACCTAGTCAATGCTACAAGACTGTACAAATCACGGTGACATTCGTCATCTCACCGGCTCATTCATGACTTCAGAGAGTTCAGCCAGAATGTCCCTGTAATGGGCTTTCATCTCTTCTTGGTATTCCAGTTGGTCCTCCTTTATCAGCCGTTCATTCACTTCCAGAGCCAGACCACAAGTGTCTGCAAATTGTCTGCAGAAAGACACAGGCCCAATCAGTACAGGTTACAATACCACTATGTCTAAATGGAAACATTACTATTGTGGATAGAAGAAAAATAGTACAGTGTGAATGGAAAATATAATAACCATCAACGACTTTAGAGATTCCGGATTTCTGCAATCAGCTTGGTTTAAACAGAACTCCTGGCAGACAGGTACAGGTAAATACACACTTAATATACATATGTACACACTGTTTTATCTTCTTAGGTATATGTAATTCTGTTTAGCTAGCCTTATGATTTTCATATACTTCTGTTACATAGCAGAGCCAGAAAGATGGTTTAGCTATTTCCTGGTTAAACTTTACTGCTTCATGTCGTACCTCCCCATCCACTAAATCAGATTGTGACCATTCTAACAAATTTGGGAACCAAACAGACTGGAGATAGAAAAGTGACAAGAAAAGTTAAACCAAGAAAAGACGTGGCTGCCTGGCTTGCTGAGCCATGTGAATTGCCAGACCATCTAAACAGAATTACAAATTCCTTGGTAGGTAAAACCTTTTAGTGAAATGTATTTTAAACTGTGTATGTAGCAGTTTGTCTAAAGTTATTTTAGAGATGAACTTTGGTTGCTGTGGGCTACTGCACATCCTCGCCACTCTTTGCTGGATAAGCCTTCTCTCTACTATCAGTCAAGACACACACTGTCACTTTAAATGTGGAGTACTTGCTCTTTTATCTTTTGTTCTTGCCTCTTATTTCTCAAATAGGCATTTATAATCTGCAATGGCCTTTCTCAACCTTTTAACCCTAGAGGAACCCTTGGTATAAACTAAAGGAAGTATCCGGCCACACTCCGTTCCAAGCTGTATCAGTTTATTGAAAAATCCTCAGTGACACCTAGTGCTACCCGAGGTCCATCCACTCTGTCACGTTTCACCCAATCTTGGGCTTGGTCATAGGGATGTTTGGTTGGACATAGGACGCACTCCGGCCAGCAAGCACCCGGCTGTCTTTCCCCTGCTAAATCCGTGGAGGAGCGATGCTGCATTCCTATGCCTAGACGAACCCTGTAAATAATTTTCAGGTCTCGGGCAACCCCTGCTAAAAGCCAATTCATCATAAGTGTCATGATGCTGATTCTGCCAAGTAGCACTGACCCTGAAACTATGCAGGCACCATCAGATAGGAGGTCAATCACCCACAGCTCAAAGCAACCTAGCAACCTCTGAAAGGAACCCTAGGGTACCTCCAAGATGGTCCACCAAGTTAGGCCGTCTCCAAAATGGTCCAAGACGGGGATGACAGTATTACAGGTACAAGTAATTGTCCTTGTCCATACTTGTCCATACTCTTGTGCCTCACATCAAACAAATTGACCACACTCCATTGATCGTCACTTTACATAAAACGTTATTCTTTGATAGCAGTCATTCTGTCATTCCCGTCTTGGAGGCCTCCAAGACGGGGATGTATCACTGTGGTCAAAGAATAAAGTTTTACGTTCAGTGAAGATCAACAGAGTGCGGTCGATTTGTTTGATGTATGGTCTGTTTTGTTGTTGGTCAGATTCAATACTTATCTGTATGTATTATCTCAGGAGTTTATATACACTCTTGTATTATTTACGCAATTTTGTTTGCCACAATTTGCACAGTGCTAAGAAAGATAATGCGTAGATATATCATTCCACCAACAAGAATCTTTGTTAATTCTAATTTTACAGCCTTCACCAGAAATATGAAAGGGACAATATGATCAGAATGGACAACACAGACTGTTCTTTCAGAAACGTTCTTTAAAAAGGCTAAAGGTCACATCACAGTACATGTTCCAAGTTGTGTTGTATTTATAAAGAAAGTCACCTGAAAATTTCTTTGAGATGCTTCACTTGACTTTCTGGGTAATTGTTGGCATTTGTTTCTGTTAGAAAAGCTCGCGCATATGCCATCGGTCCAGCGTTTACCTAAAATAAAGAGAACCATATCTCATCATAAGTTATTATAGAAGAAAAGTCACTACTCTGAATTGCAAAACAGACTTTTACACATTTTAGTTACTTATCACTTTTAATTTTATCCAGAAAGAGAAGAAATGCCATCTGTTATTTGAATATAATCTTTTCAATATATCTAATAGCCCAACTACATTATAGAATAGTAGTCAAAGTTCTGATGTATGATTCATGTATTTATCTCACAGTCAGAGGGAAACAAGCAAGCAAATAACACATTTAAGCATACTATAGTCAGAATATCGTTTGGTGTTTACTGATAGATGGGAATTAACGGTCTAGGAAAAATACCAAACACTTTTTTATTACTTCACACATCGATGCCTTGTGAATGTCGGTTACAGAACTCACATGAATGTATATTTCTGCTGCAAAATTTGGCTCTGCACTTTGGTAGATGTAAACTTAATAACGTTTATACTAATTTGATACAATTCTTAAAATGTAGATGTACAGTATTTTCAGAAGTCACTTTGATGTTTTTAAAAGTTCAGTTTCTATTAAAATTAGGGCTGCACCGATACTTTTCGAGTACCAATGCCGATACTTGGCATTTTCATAAGAACTACCAGGGTTGCAGCGGTTGCAGCTGGGGCCTAGCTCTGGCACTCCACCACTGTCCTGAAATCATTAGTCGATATTGTATGTATCAGTACTTGTATCTGTGAGTACTTGAGCAAGTATCAGTACTTGTAGTCGCAAAACTGGTATTGGTGCATCCCTTTATTTATATTTATAAAAACAAAATCATACCAAGTACCGTACTCGGTACAAGTACAAGTACAGATACTTTTCGAGCTCCAAGACTAGACTAGAGAAACATTCAAAAATTAGGAGGCAGCTGTCATTCGTAAGGAGCACACAGAGCTCCTGGGATTTGTACATCTCTGTTCTAATGTATGATTTTGTTTTTAGAAATATAAATAAAGGGATGCACCGATACCAGTTTTGCAAGCACAAGTACTGATACTTGCCCAAGTACTTACAAGTACGAGTACTGATACATTTTTGTTTATTGTCATGTGACAGTTTTTCTAAAACAATATCGACTAATGATTTCAGGACAGTGGTGGAGCGCCAGAGCTATGTCCCGGCTGCAACCGCTGCAACCCTGGTAGTTCTCATGAAAATGCCAAGTATCTGAAAAGTATCGGTGCATCCCTACAAATCAGTATCTTCTATTTCTCGGGAACACCAGCAATGGTATTGTTTTTTTTAAAGTTCCCAGCTCCACCCACATTCTTCTGCCTTTACAAGTGACACTGCTTTGTGGGATGGGCATTGTTGTGAACTATGGTGAGGAAAGTCTGGCACAATAGGTCTGAAAGGTAAAGGAAGCCAGCTGTTGATTTAGCCTGCCAGTAGATAATAATACCCAGGCAGACTGTTTAAACATGAACTTTTCTTTGAAATGAGAACAATTACGCCTTTAGAAGTGTTTGCTAATGACAATCTACAAACAGATACTTATAGGTAATTGCAGTCTTTGTATTCTTTTCATACCTTTTTTTAAATTTTCCTCTCCATTCTTCACAGTGGCAATTTTTACTAAGGGCAGATGAATCCATCTCCCTTTACTTCCTGGATCTCTGGCACATGTGACCATGTACATCATCTCATGGGGAGGAAATTGCCTTTCCCTGACATTGCATGAGATTACAGATGAGATTTCCCAGCAGTGCACTGCTGATGTAATATTCCCAGGGTGGAACACTTGGGCACGATTAAATCATCAATGTCCAAGAAGACCAGAAAGTGGAAAAACAATAATTGTAAGGAAAAGAAAAATATGTTTAACTAATGAATGTAAGATGATATTGGCATGCAGAGCTGCATGCTGAGGTGATTTTTAGTGAAAGGGGGTAAAGGCCCACTTTAAAGAACCAGTTTGTGATATTAAAATATAGAGGTGAATTGACATCACAGATATTTGAGACTTTCAATGTTAAAAAGTCAAAGTTAGATATCTGTTAACCATGTTCACCAGACTGAAAGAATTCACAGCTTAATGCCAACGAGTTTCTGACAGGCTTGTGGTATAGATACCGGTAATCAAAATGTAATTTTGTACATAAACCCTCAAGAAAATTCTATAGACCATGTAGCTACAACTCAGCAAGGAAGAAGATTTCTGTACACACTGAGACTTCATATTGTCTGCATTCATTTGAAATTTTCCAAAGATCAAGGGTATTATGCTTCATCTCTAATAACATTCAAAATATTAGTTGCACATTACTAGTACATGCAAATGCTTTGACCGCTCCTGATGATGTATGTGGTGACAAAACGCATTAGGCGAGCACAGAGTATTGCAGTGGACTGACAGCGCACGTCTATGTGCTAGTGGGCGCTCTCTTCAAACATCTGGCTATCTGTACCCAGTGTGGGGTTTCCGCACTTTACTGTGCGAGTATATTGAATGCTTTAACGCTTTGGTTTTAATAAAGGAGTAAAGTTTACTCTATGAGTCTCTTCTCTTTGCCTCATATGAATGGGATGATGAATCTGGCACACATGTATTGAGAATGGAGTCCGAGCATTGATTCCTGGGAGAAGATTCTGCGCAATCAGTTTTCTTACATTGGGTGTTTTGGATGGTGGACATACTGAGAAAAATATGAGGAGGAATTCTGAATGATCGGGCCTGGAGAATTTTTCTGCACATTTTGACCTACCTTTTAAAAAAGTGGTCACACAACATTGAGTTTATTACCTAGTGGGCCTGGTAAAGCACAGGGAAAGACGTACTTGTTGGATTGTTTGCACTTTGGCTTTTGGCACATTGTGGATGTTATATAAAAAGAACGGTTTGGGGTTTTTTTGCACATATATTTATTTGTACTTTGTGCGATGCTAAATAATTTACTGAAGTTTTAGAGTTTTTAAAGTTATACAAGTGTCTGTATGTTTGGTGTAAATTCATTGGTAATCAAGCAGATCTGCCCGACAGGGATGTCTGTGTGTATGCATGGTAGCAGATCTGCCAGACAAGGATCTGCGAGTGTGTGTAGAACTATCTAACATACTAGTCAGCTGAAAACTGCAGGTAAGTGGCAAGTCGTGTGTCTGGTGTATGTGTGGTTGTGTATGGGCTGTGGAAAAATTAATAAACCAAAGATTCTAGCTTGCAGGATAGCTTGAGGAATTGCAGAAGTGTGCCATAGTTACTTAGTTTGGTAGCTCTAAACTGGACAAGAGCCTAAAACAGCCCACAGTACTGGCTCAAGTCTACAGCTGACAGAGCTGACAGATGTCAAAACATGAAGGCCCATGTCACACAAGCAAACCTATGGCTCACGGCAACTTGGCAGCCACAGGAGCACAGGAGATGGCAAAATCTTCATCTATTGTGCATGAAGATCTGCTGTGTTCTGACCTGCAAAGGAGGTAAGTAGTTTTACACAGCGTAGAGATCCTGTCACTGGCAATTTGTTGCCGGCAACAGAACTGCAATGGTGACATAAGGCCACTACATTGTTTTAGCAAAATGCAGGTAAGGACTAGCCAGGCACTGTCATTCCTTGATTACATCTTACATTTTGGTGACTAAGTTGCTTTATACATTAGGCTTTTGCGTACCCTGGACCTCCCTCTGCTTTCTATTTAGGCTCAAGAAAGGTTTACGATGTTACTGAGCTCATTTAAACATTAACGAAAATAAAAATTAAGTACTACAAAAAATGGATATTCAAACAATGTCAGCTTTCTCTTACACTTACTATTTCATTTTCCATTATGTGGTATCATACTTTTCCCCTGGAAGTGATGTTTATAGCTTGCCATAACAAGGCAATTATCTCCCCAAGAATGACAGGTAGGAGATATCTGCCTGCCAGTTCCTTGCACGACTTGCCAGACAGACTGAAGCTGTGTGTGCAGTAAATGTCTTCTCAGGCTGAAAAATCTCCATATGCAAAAACCAGTACTTCAGACTTTGGATGCGCTGATTATTCTTGAATGCCTCGAGAATTATCCCTAAACAGCCAACCCTTGCTTGAATAACACATTGGGCTTGCAGATTGGGGAGCTATATGGCCGTTTATAGCCAGCCTATTTTCACTCACAGTAAGGTGAATGATTAGATAATGCCTGAACAGATAGGGATGAAGATATTATATTCTATAGATCCTATTCACCTGTATACAAAGTATACATTATGATGTACTACTCCGTATATGAAAACAAAGCGTTATATAATTATAATAAAAGAACAAGTGCAAAGTAAAATAATTATTTGCAACCAGTTAAAACTCTATTCATTGGTCTCAGGTCATTAAACTGCTGACATCTGGTTGCTATAGGATACTGAAAAACTGTACTTTGACATACACAGGCATAATGTCATATATTTTTATGGAGTTTTTAGAGTTCTTTCTGACTGTAATGAATCAAATTTAGGACATTTCAAAAGGTGTTCACTATGGGGTGCGCATGGCACCAGCTCCCCTAGATGGCACTGTCGAATATAGGAATTTCCTATCCTTGTCAGCACCAGTTAAGGGTGCTAGTGCCATCAAACAACATCCACTCGGTGTATAACTTTTATCAATTAACCCATTAGGGCACCGTAGCTAACTGCAATGAAGCAACATAGAGATTATTTGGTCCTTGTTTTAATACATGGATAGTTATCAATAGCAGTACATAAATAGTTTTATGTGTGGTCACTTTAAACCTTTGCGCAGGCACAGTTTATGCAATGTGCAATCTTCTGTTTAGGCTACATGTGCTTTGGGATTAGATGTCACAGAGGTAGCCACATTTATATGCATGAATAGGGACTTGGAGGTCAGAAATATATTTTCCAAAGCCAAAGTGACCTGCCAAGTAGTTGTAGCACAAAGCCGTACTTGACATTCAGACTGTCCCTATAATCACCATTTCTCCAGTGAACAGAACTCGGCTGATCTCACCTTGACACTAACGCTCCCTTGAAGCTTCAGCTGCAGTCTTATCATATCCACATCATCCATAGTGCAAAGCTGCTGCAACTCCTGAACTTTTTTGGACATTTCATCTATGGCCACTTCAATGGGATTAAGCTCTGTGCTTGTTTGGCGTACAACTTGGATCCGCTTTTTCACATATGGAAATGAGTGACTGGCTGTGTAGAAGAGAAAACAGTGGGATGGAATTAGTTTATATGAGTAAGGACTGTTGTAATGACACTATATTGTATCCTCTATTCTACCCATCACTGCCAAGTAACAAATTGTATTGAAAGTCAATATTTGTTTTTTTTTTAAATTTTGGATGGAGTAGGGAATGAATAATCTGGATAGCCAGGTTTTTATTGCTGTCTGTGTCACTAGAACAGGAAAAAAGGAGAAATCTCTCAGTGAGAACACTTGTGAAAGTGATAACTAAGAGGGGATATCCCTTTTTATTTTGTGTCTATGGAACAGAAAGTGAAGACAATTATCCCCGATTGGACAGAGACAGCAAAAAAAACAAAAAAAAAAACGACAGGTTTTGATAAAGCAGGGAATGGTTAAAACTTCCAATAAAAAAAATTGGCTTAATATAATTATTTAGAGGTGATTGGGAATGGAAATATTGTGGACTGAAGCATCATGTGCAATAACAGAGTGACTCTCAACTCCCACAGATCCCGGGGTTTCTTGAGACAGACATCTGTATGTTTCATCTGCAGCTCCTCCTGATGGTGAAAGGCGATCACTTATAAGGGACCTAACGAAAAACTAAAGAGGAAATCTGGACAATGTACTCAACACGTTCAATAACAAGGTCTCGCCATCAAAACTTATGGTTCTATTACCATAAGGTTTCCCACCCATAAGCCCTCCTTTTGATAAGTGGGAGGAGCTGGGAACACATATGTAGACTTCTTACTGTTAAGAGTCCATGTAAGAATCCAGTTTCTGATCCAACCCTCCAGCATATACTTAAAACAGATTTATTGATTTTGTTGAGCTAAGTTTTTGAAAATGAGTGTTAATTTTTGCTTGTACTGTACGTGAAAAATTAAAAGTCAAGATATTTGTGGCTAGAAAAATGAGTCATATGTAATTGGGGAAAAATAATTGCAAAATAGACATAAAGAGGGTTTGGGAGCACCTTGACTTTACTTTAGTATTCTTTGAAAAAGAAAAAAACGTTATTAGTATATCAATTACTTACTGGTCAACACTGTACGCCTCTTGCATTGTTCCTCCACTCCACCATGTTTCTTCCCTGATAGCGTAAATGGAGTCTCAAACACAAACCGGCTGATATTATGATGCCTCTCAAAATCTGTCTTTCTGTCTTCGAGGTCTTTCTCATCAAAGTAAGGTGTGACATATGTGACTTGAAAGTAAGCAAACTTAGGATCTAGATCTTTGGGATTCACCTACAGAAACAATTAAGTGTTATCATTCCATGTATCTCAAGCTTTGCTGTATTTAGATACAGTAATAACTCTGTACAGATTTTTCCCAAAATGTTTTTTGAAGTGAAGCTCATGCAGCCTCATTTATCAACATAAGCTTAAGCTCAACTCCAGGCCCACTTCCCACATCGCCCAGTACAGATCCCCCCGCATGTACTTTTTGATAATCTTTTTGTATACTTATCTTTCAGATGTCTTTAGGCCAGTAATGTGATGCACGGGGTCCAATTTCTCTTTGACTCTTCTGGAAGACTTATCAGTACTTAATAATGGAAGAAACGTTGATGAGGTAATGGCATCAGCACCATTACAAACATCACTGTATGTGAGTGCAGGGAGGCGGGATGATGTACCCCTAGGCATTGGGTTCATGTCACCCTCAAAGATAATGGTCTGATTGAACAAACTCCTGTTTATTCCAACTGCACATGATTGAATAATTGAAGTGAATATTCACTCCTTTTTTTGAGTGAACATTTTCCACTATATTAGGTAACTAGCCTTGATTAGTCAGCCAGATTAATTGAAAACAATGCACCCCCTGGAAGTCTGCGGATGCATAGACTGAGAGAAGAAGAGCAAGAGGTTTTACAGCATCTATACGCAAGTCACTGGGGACATAAACTGAAAAAGTGTATATGGTCAAAGTTTCCATAAGGGTCTTGAATAGATTGCTCCATCAAAGATGAAGGTTTATCCCTCTAGTGGCTGATCTTAAAAATCTCTAATACAATAGCAAATTTATAAAACAGAAAACTTGTAAAATGTGAAAATCATATTAATGTTTTTTTTTTCAAATTTAATGCTACAATAACATTTCAAAAGTGCACTGACTGGAAAAACACCTTCTCTTTGCAGGATCAATCAAATGAGCAAATATTATAGACTCATAATAATGTAGTTGGGAAACATAACTGATCGTACAGAAATCTGAGATATTTCTCAGGTTTCACTAACAATGTGCTAAGTACTAACACCACAACCCATTGTGGTGTTTTTTCACTGGTTGTATGCAGTAACAGTAAAATCTGATTGCTTAATACTGCAGCTACCAGTGAAATGTGCCTGAGATCAGCACAGCTAATATTTATATTCATTTCTTGATCCTTTCTTGATCTGCCACCTAGCTTTAGGGGCAAGGAGCACACAAACCTTGTTGGAGTCCTGAATGATCTTTACATTGTCCGCTCCAAACTTATCAGTATAGAGCTTGAGCAACCTCTGTGAAATCTCTGACAACCCTGTTAATTTGGGTTCTTTATAGATGTACTCTTTTCCTTCTTCTTCTTCAAAGAAACCCTACAAAAGAGAGGATCGTTATATAGAAGTATACTAAGAAATACTAAGGGATTCATCCCCCACAGCCACACCATGAACTGTTAGACACTTAATGAGTTTATCACACACCCTACAGCAAGTACACATGTGCAAGCAAAGCCTTTGATGCATTAGAAATAGAATTATTAATGGATGGTGGAAAATTATGTTGAAGCTGAATACAGGGAGAAGCGGTATCACTGAGATTCTGTAATAACAGTAATAATGGCCTAGGATAAACTTTTACATGAAATTGGAAACACATTTTCTTAGAAGTTTTTTGAGCATTTCCAACACCAGTCACCAGTTTTGTTCCACAGGTGGAGTAGATTATCCATCACAAGCAACAAGCTGTGGTGATTATATATGGATACAGACACTTGGTAAACCAAACTTTGCTTCTATAAGGTATAATACTTCCCAACTTTCCAGTTCTTAAAAATACAAAAAATAACCGAGACAGGTATAGATTTGGACATATTCACGGAGAGATGAGAGAATTCTTTAAAATGCCCTTTCTTTCCAAACTGTTTAGTAAAGTTCTCAAAAGATATAAAAAGCCAGTGGGTGGTGTCTGTCTATTTTGTCTAGTCACATAAACTTAGCATACAAGTCTATGGAGTGCTCTACAAAACTCTGTAGACAGTTTCCCTCTAAGTTTAGCCAGACTATACCTATACATCCAACCACCCACTAAGGAGTCGATTTATAAAGCAGTAAGTGTGACTATCACCAAACATTCTCTGGTGGTGAATACATCACTAATTTAAAACACATGCACCAGGTACATTCACCTGTAGTAAATGTTTGCTGAATGTCAGATTAACTGCCTTATAAATATGCCACTATTCTCCATAGCCTATTATATTTAGGGCTAATCAATTTAATAGATGATAATCGATAATAAGTAACGTCAACGATTCTCATTATTGATTAGTTGATTCTGCTTCTGCCCATTCAGAGCACAGCTGGGATACAAACCCCATGTCCCTTGTCGCCAGCGGTAGAAAGCCAGTGACAAGTCTTCCATCTAGTGGCTGGGAGCAATAGCCAGCCTACTATTGACTATTTTAAATCGCAATAGCCAACAGCAGGCTGGCTATTGCACCCGCCTGCTGTCAATCAGCAGAGGAGGAAATGAACTTTCTTCTTCCGGTCCCTCCTCCATCCTACCTATGTGGGATGGAGGAGGGACCTGAGTGTTTTAGGGCTTTTAAATATACCATTGAAAATTATTTGGTATATTTGTTCAATACAGTAAGTGCAAAAAATAACTGATCCTAACATAAATCTTGTGAGTTAATAACTTCCACTTTCAGTGGAATGTTTAACAGACCAAAAGGGGGAACATAAGAGAAATTATTTGTTTATAAACACTTTAACTTTTAAAAGTTATTTAAGTTAACCTCCCTTGTACAGTCTTTTGAAGAGACCACTGGCCATAGGTATAGTTTGCATTTTCTCTTTGCTGTGGGGTAATTGTGGACATATTCACACTGTGTTTGGAGGTATATAATCACCTCGGGGTTATTTTTTTTACTATATAATGAAAAAAGTAAAAGAAAAAAAAAAAGTTTCCCTACACTATGTTATAAAACATTTATTATTTCCTATATGTACATGTCAAGCCTTAAAATCGCAAAAAACGCCCCTAGGCGACGCTTAAAACGCTTTTACTGCTCATCAGTTTAGAGTTATCGGTGATTGATGGCCCTAAAATTATTGCTCTCACTCCGACGTTTGCGGCGATATGTAACATGTGTGGCACAATAGGCGCAATCGGCGTTTTCGCACGCAGGAGCACCCGACGCATATCTGAGGGTGTATGTGGTGGGCGGGGACTTAAAAAAATTGTTTTCGTTTAAAAAAAATTTATGCTTTATTTTTTTATGATTCTTTAATTTTTGTATTACTTTTTTTTTTTGACACACAACTTTATTGCTATTACATCTGGGGCTAAGAAGCTCCCTATATAATAGCCAATTTACATGGCAGGTCCTCTTCTTCTATCACCATGCTGCATTTATTTAGACCCGACATATGAGCTTTGAATATGTTTTTTCAATTGCAACACTCCAAATATATTTTGGGCTCAGCCAAAATATACTTCCAGAGCCTATTCGACATCACACCATTATGCCAATTAAACGTAAAAATATAAAAATATTTGGCAACATAAGACAGAACAATGACTAAAATATAATTCACATTTTATGACTGATGTTTTGCCCAGCATGATTTTAGCAACTGCCAGAGTTTTATCAGTTCTGACACTTGTATTGTGGCCAGTTGCCATCTACATATTCATGTATGCTCCATATTAGCTACACTTCTAGGGTATGGACTTTATTGTCTTAATTTCACTGATGTGTAGTAGAGAAAATATGATACATTTGGTTTTGTATTCCTTGAAAAAAAATCAACAAGCCAGATGCCCAGAAATATTGCACTAGAAAAATAAAAAGTCTATGAGAGCATTAATAATTTACTTTTTACTCAAAGATCATCATAAACAAGTACAAATACTGCTTTGCCACTTAAAATTAGTGATCACACCGATCAGTTTATAGCAAGTGTGCATCGGAATGCAGCATAAACAATCTACAATGATGAATGTAATCTTCTAAATTGGGCAACAGAGCCATCTTGTGGCAAAGCATTGTGTATTCGCTCTAGGAAGAAAAACGATAATGTAAAGCAACTGCAAAGTAACAGAGGTAACAGAGGTGCAAACATCAGAAGGCATGGAGATAATACTTTATGCCAACCCCCAAAAACACATGGTTAGTGATTAGGGCTGCAGCTAACGATTATTTTTTAATAATCGATTAGTTGCCCGATTATATTTTTGATTAATCAATTGGTTGCATTAAAAAAAACCTCTCTCTCTCTCACACACCACCCAACTAATAGATAATGGGAATAGTTGCCAACTATTCTCATAATTATTATCGATTAGTTGTTGCAGCCCTATTGGTGATACACTTTTTTTGATGTACTCTCTTGCCAATAAGAAAAGGGAAGGATTAACCTCACTGCACAGAGATTGCCCACACATTTAGTAAATCTCTGTGCTCAATAAGGAGCACTTCCATTAATTGTAGATCCCCGTTATTATTATCTGGGGTATTTCATTACTGAGCTTAAAATCTCTATAGCAATCCTGTATAAGCAGGGTTCTTATTATAAGAGGTTCTCCATGAATGAAAATAGGAAAACAATAAGAAAAAATCTCCTTTGGCCCTCAAGCCCTAAAGTGAGTAATTAATTAATATTTGGGTGTTTTACCAAGTTTCTTAACTAGCTGTTGTTCTGATGTACATAAAAGGCAGAATAGGTATGCCAGTTTATATACTGATACCTTCTTCTAAATGTCATCTGAGAAGGTGCTGATTAGGGTCCTTCATATATGTACTTTAAAGTGGGCCAACAGTTTCCTATAATTCATTTTTTCATTTGTATCTCATTTAGACTGTAGCCTCCAAAACTGTTAAGCAAAATACCTGTCAGAGAAGCCCCTGATGGAATCTGCCACTCCCTGAAACACAACCAAGGCAAAGACTTCCTTGCTATTAATACAATTAGTACACCCTCTGCTACATCCTCTTTTACTGTAACCTGTCCAAATAGGGTCTCCTTGAGCAAAGAGGATGTAGCAGAGGGTGTATTAATTATAAAACAGAAAGGCAGAGATACAGGTAAGTAGACATTGTTGTATCAATTGACAATAAATGTCAATACTGTTGACAGTTGTATTTATTTTTCATGAAAGGTACACTTTAAATGTTAAATGTGTAAATAAGGCCTGTGAGTTATCATAAATCACAAACATGTTGCCTCTTAATATGCTAACAGCATACCCACCAACTGTAGATAATCCTAATAGTAATAACTCTCCCAGATGCCCCAAGTGTAACACTACCTAACACGCTTTGTATCATTTACTTTGAGACGGTTATGAAATCTGAGGCCTTTGGGATCTATGGTCAATGAATGATAGAATCTATCTTGGGGTTGACCCAACAAGTACATATCATTAGGTTTTATATGGTAAATCTGATACCTTCTGAAGCCATGTACTAAATAAGGTAGTACCCTATAAAAAGATAATTTTAAACCACACCAGGATATCCCTGATTCATTTTGTTCTTGGTACCTATTTTGGTTCTTGGTACCTATTTTCTACTTGGTTTCCCTCGAAAGTCCTCTGAAAAAACACTTGATACACAAATATTTCAGGATTAAATGTTTTTATTGACCATTGATTTCCTATTACTAATGTTTCTCATCTTGGATCATTAGGTTTAGTACATATAATTGTACTCCAATGTTTACACAAGAATTGCTTAACAATATTAAGTTGGAATACTACTTCCAATTGAACATTACTCCTATTAAATTTAATGATGTGATACACTGTGAAAAGTGTAACCATTGCTTCGTAAAGCTATTTGATTTAAATAATACTATTAGGGTGTATGTATATTGGTGCATGACATTTATATGTATTGTTTTGGATGAGTAAATTGGCTAATTAATTCTCTTAGTAGCATTTAATAGGTTCCTATGCATTTTATATTTTGTACGATTTGATGAATACATATTGATTTCTGGTTTTGTATTTTATTAAGATTCAACTTTTCATTAGCCAAATATTTAAAGCTTACTGTAAGTAAAGTTTAAAATGAGTATCCTAAATGCATTGGGAAACGTCAATACAGTGTATGAATACACTTTATGACCTGATATAATAAAGCTCTGCCACCATTGTGCTGGCACTTTGCTGAAGGCAGCTGGGCGAGTGGCTCAGAGACTCAGGCAATTGCCTTCTACCAGAGGCAGTGGGGGGTGGGGTTGGAGGGGGCTAAGTGTTGCTGGATGGTACAAAATCAATGGAGGAGGGCGGGGTGGTGCTTGTGGAGAGTGATGCCACAAAGAGCTGGGAAGGGAGATGTGCAAAGCCTCTGCATCTCCCTGTCCAGCTCTTAGCAACCTGGGACACTCTGACCGGCATCCTGACAAGCTCCTAGCAACCAGTGACATCTTGCTGGGAGGATGCCAGCTAGTGTGTCCCAGGTTGCTAAGAGTGGGGCAGAGGGATGTTTATGGCCCTTACACATCTTCCTGCCTGGCTCTTAACAACCTGCTATGCTCTGGCCCAAAAGGGGGAGGCAGGCACACTGCAAACATTGTGCAGCAGAGCAGCCATGATAAACTCTGCCTGCTTCCCCCCATGTGACCCAAAGAGATGCCACCTGAGTTGGGCCCTGCCCTCTACGATATAGAAACCTTGACTCTTAGTTGAGTTACCGAGGTTTTCTGATATAACAGGACCTCTTGGAGTAATGTGATGAATATATGAACTTTTCATGCAAACACAGTCAATGGCGTATACTATAAGAAATGCAGACTGTTACCTACTTCACATATGATAAAACCTCCAGGGCACCAAATCCTACTTAAGCCAATACATAATACATTGGTTTCTATATAATGATACAGCACTAAGTAAACAGTGATGCTTAACCCTTGAAGCTGTTAAGCTGTTATGAGACCAGACACGAATGAACACAACACTCTCAAAGAGACAAATGAATATTTTAGCTCATATTTATAAATTAGATGCAACACATCATGAAAGAACAGCTGTCACTGACTGTGAGTAGTAAAGAAAGAGACAAACAGAAATAAGCCACTTACCACAGCCTTCAATAGGATCAGACGGAAAAAAAGAGCAAATGCATGCATTAAGATTGAATCGGTATATTAGAGGGATTGTAAAAGTCATAACAGTTTCTGCAATCCCCGGTTCAGAATTCAGGAACGTCTAGTGGGCCAAAAATCCACTGGCTTTTCTGACAGTTAGCCTAAATCCATGATTGACTAAAACTTGGCCACTGACAATCTTAAATGCTGATACCTGGGAGCAGTAATGTATGAAAACAGCTCTGCTCTCCCTTTCGGGGATTATATATGCCACATTTAATTTAGCCTCAACAAGCCAGATATTTCTTTTCTACAGATCAGCTAGAGCAGAAAATCTGTTTTATTTTCACCTTTTACTATGTGTCTTGGGAAATTGCCTATATTTACCTTACTGCACCATCTCCAGAACACTTGGATTTTGACTTTCAGGCTGCTTTACTTTACCCATGTGAGAAATCCAGCAGCTTTGAATTGAAGATCTAATATACACTGGATAAGCAAGGATTTGTTTACAATAAATACCTTGAGATCCATTGGCCAAGAGCTATATTTTATGGAGAACATCAGAATTCAGCAAAAATTGATTTATGTTAATTTTAGGAAGCACCACAGCTTAGTAGTAAGCATGGTTGTCTTTCAGCACTGGAGTACTGGTTTCCTAAAATTGCCATAGGAATATTTCTAAGTTAAGTTAAAGTAGAACTAAAGCCATTTTTTCTTTAGTTTTGGATAAAGTAAGGGAGGGTCATAACCCCGTAGGCTTTTTTGCCATCTGTTCCCCCCAAAGTGAGAGAAATCCCTGGTGGTCAACAGAACTAATGTCCCCATTGGAAGATATACCATCTGCTCCTGTCCTGATGACAACCCAAAATGTGGGATTTTATTTAACTTAAAACCAGGCCAAATAGCGGGGTGGATCTCCCTAACGGGAGCACAGACAGCAATGGAAATCGGCATGGCTTCTATTCCCTCTTTACTCCACTGTATGGAGTAGGATGAGGTCATACTTCCATGTGTTGTGAAACTAAAGCACATATTTACCTATAGTCTTGGAGAAAATAATTTTGTGTAAATTAGGTTTTTAGGGAAGGCATTGACCCATTTCTACCCAAGCACATGAAGTGTTTTGGGTATTTTTGAAGTATGAGCTCAAGCCATGTACTAATTAAGTACCATATATTTCTTCATTAAGTTGTGTCCTGAATGACAGAAGAGTCTGTGATACCTGGCTGCTCTACAGGTTGCTCTGTTGGCTTTGCCACGGCAATAGGCAAGAAATATGAAGGTACATAAGGCAAAGGTAAATATTAAGCATACCACTTTCAAAAATACACAAAAACTTTTATCATTGGAAGAAAGTGTCTTCGTTTCCTACACTCCCCCTTACCAGAGTAAGCTTAAGCCTGAAAATGTACCCATTCTGGAATAATAGAAGTGCTCTTCCTGGTATGTGAGTGTGCCTACGTACATCTGTGTATTCAGCCTCATAGCTGTATATCTGCTGTGTGACATCTAGGGCACTGCTTCATCTGCCTCCACTCTCTACCAAGATGGCTTCCTCCACACATATAAACAGTGCAAAACAAGGAGTGGTGAGTCAGTAACAGCAAACAATCATCTGCAGGGAAACCACAGGCAATACTGGTGACTGGTCCTTTGCCCTCTGTCTGGTATTTTTTGGGCACAGCTTCCAGAGTTCAGTTCCTCTTCTAAAAAAACCCTTAATATTTGTATATACGTATATTGATGTTATTTCCCACCCCTACAATGATAAATGTGAGGAGTGTTTGTTGCTTTGTATAAAGCATATTGCATTTGTTAGTGCTACACTAAAGGGAGCATTTCTTCACAGAATATCTGTGCATAAATATTCATATAATATTCTTACAAAATCGGCTGATGTTTTATGTATAATGAAAAATTAAAAATTCATATAAAATCGTAAAAGATGTATGGGCTGCCAGTCACATGATTTTGCCATGAATTTTGTAAGGAAACAATGCAGCTGTCAATATATATATTCATGAAAGTGTAATGAACAACAAGTCTGGGCTGTGGTCCATATTCTATAACCATTCAGTTTGTATAGCTGGCAGAGGAGTGACTTCTAACAATGATATAGGTAGGATTTTCCCCATGGCTCAATGACTGAAATATATATAGAAACACAGAGAATATTGTTTAATAAGCCAGTAAGCAAAGAGCAGTGCTGATGTGCAATCTACAATAACCTATACCAACTGATCTTATGACCATTGATAGATGAATTCCAATTCTACAGGTTTCTGAACTCTGCACTCCCCATTTTGTCTAGTGATACAAGCATTCTACCAGCCTTACTCAACTAAAGTACCTCCAAAGATTTCTAGGGGTTCTTGAAGAAGGGAGCAGCATCACACTGATCTTCCACCTGAAGGTGCCAACCTAGTTTCAGCACCATTGTCACATGTCAGCAGTGTGGGGCCATTGGAGCCTCTACTCTCTCAGGTAAGGAACCAATTTCACCAATGATCTTTTTAGCTGTCTGTAAGGGTAACATTCTTCCCATTAGCCACCAATGGAAGGGACCCTCTTCCACCAACTATTAATGTAAGGGGCATTCTTCCCACTAACCATCAATGTAGGGGACATTTTTGCCACTAACCATCAATGTAAGGGACATTCATCCCACTAAACATCAAAGCAAGGGGCATTCTTTTCACTAACGATCAATGTAAGGAACATTCCTCCCACTAAACATCAATGTAAGGGAATTTCTTGCCACTAAGCATCAATGTAAGGGCAATTCTTGCCACTAACCCTCAATGTAAGGGACATTCTGCCACTAACCATCAATGTAAGGCACATTCTTGCCACTAAACATCAATGTAAGGGGCATTCCTCCCACTAAACAGCAATGTAAGGGGCATTCTTTCCACTAACCATCAATGTAAGGAACATTCTTGCCACTAACCATCAATGTAAGGGGCATTCGGCTCACTAAACATCAATGTAAGGGACATTCTTGCCACTAACCATCAATGTAAAAGACATTCTTGCCACTGTTCATCAATGTAAGGGACATTCTTCTAGCTCACCACCAGTGTAAGGGGGACCTTTAACACTGGCCACTATTATAAAGGAACACCACACTAACCACTAATGTAAGGAGGTTCTTCACTGGCCACCAAAAGAACACAACAAATAATTTTGTTGTATAGAGAAGGATGTGTGTGTGTGGTGAGGGTGGGCTGGGGTTTAAAAATGATAGCTTCTGGGTGTCCAATAAGCTAAGTAAGGCAGATTCTATATAATTGTATTTATTATTATATCTACAACTTACTCATCATGCTAATGCACTGTGAAGTGTAGATATAATTATTTTTAGCAATGGTTCTCTTGGACTTGAAAATTATAAGAAGGGTTCCTCCTTGGTAAAAAGGTTGAAAATGGCTGCCTTATACCAACATACAAGCTGCAATTTTTGAAACGTGGTGTAGTGCTATGCAGTAATAGCCCAACCTTCAATTTACCTGGCCGTAAAAAGCAACTCGATAATAACGTCCAAACAGTCTTTTCTCTGTGTTTACCACCTCTGCAATTTTCAGATAGGATCGGTGAATGCGGTAATAGAGCTCCGACAGCCTCTGAAATCAGGTTAGCAGAAAGTGTCAATTATTCAATATGTGTTCCACATTGCTGCTTTATAACAGCCACTTTACATTTACTACAGAAAGTATATTGTGCTGATCAAGAAAAATATTTAAAGTAAATAATGAAAACATCTCATGAGCAGGCTTATAAAAGGCATGTATACATTGTGCAATCATATATGAAAATGATGGACAGAGCTGTACTCCAACATAAAGCAGCTTCGGATTAGAATGGTAAACTATAAGCCCTGGATTCAATCATAGAAACATCTAATAAAAAAATAAAAATAAACCTTAGATTGCCCTTAGCCGTCTTTCTGTTAGTTACGATAATACCATCTGTGAGGAACTGGTTGGCAGGGTTGTATATGTGTTTGGAATGGTATTTATGTGTCACCTACACACGGTACTGGTCTCCAGGATTTGTGTCTTTTATGAAAAAACAAACGTTTTGTTTTCTTAGATCTTAATAAATTCTGTCCTGGGTCCTGGATGCTTTATAGAGCTTTAGGTGGGATGAAGCCTACAGTCCTAAGTCCACATTATACCTGGTTGCCAGACCTCATGAATTCGTCTCAGCAGTCCACAAGCTTTTAATGTACAAGCTGACTGATGCTGAGGGCTTTCTCTTCTTTGAGAGTCTGCTGCTGTGTGGAAAGGCTGAGTGCTAACAAAACACTGTAAAGGTACAAGTTCTGCCTGTTTGTTTTGGGGAACCCATTAGGCACAGGCGGCTCTAGAGTTTGCGAGGCCTTAGGTGAGGTGGTGAGATCCCACAGAGCCCTGGTGAGACCCCACAGATCCCTGGTGAGACCCCACAGATCCCTGGTGAGACCCCACAGAACCCTGGTTAAGCCAGGGCTCTGTGAGGTCTCACCAACACCAGGGCTCTTTAGAGTCTCACCAGGGCTATGTGCGGTCTCATCAGCCTGGTCAGACCCCTCAGAGCCCTGGTGAGACCCCAAAGAGACCTGATGAGACCCAAAAGAGCCCTGGTTAAACCAGAGCTCTCTAGGGTCTCTCCAGGGTCTCACTAGGGCTCTCTAGGGTTAGGGTCTCACCAGGGCTCCCTAGGGTCTCACCAGGGCTCTATGGATTCTTACCAGGGCTGAGCGGGTCACATCTCTATTAGTCAGGAACTGACCAGAGATTAATTAGTTGCTCGGACCAGCAGATGGTTTATACTTGTTCTAAGCTATGGACTTACTGTACAAAGCTCTACTGCAGTGAACTGTGTTTGTTTGCTGCCTTGCTGAATTAAAGTGCAGAACAAACCAGTCTGGACTGTTCCTGGGTGTCGCTGCCTCGTGCATGGTTTAATGCTGCCACTACCAGTTGAGCCTTACACATGCCATTAATAAAGTGCTTGTTATAAGCAAACATTTATAAAGAGTGTGAACCATGTGAGATTTTATTTTCTCGCTTTTACCATTTTGCTTATTAAAATGGCTCTCAAGAGGGCAGGGATAAAGAACATCCACTGATCAAGTACTATATTCACAATGAAACAGGCTATCGTAAAGTTGAATTCCCAGACAAGGAAATATTGTCTAAACATAAAAGACATGTGTAATCTTTTTTGAATATTGGGGTGTTTTGTTTATTTCTTCCAGATCTGTGTAGTAATGTGCAGTGTGAAACTTTGCCTCTGCAGGCAGCCTGTAGTGAGTGGAGCCTGATGGGTGATGTCATTGCTGCGTTAACAAGGTAATTACTGGGTTTAAAAAGACATTTGGTGCTCACAGAATGGATTTATATCCTTTGTGTCTATTCAGGAATATATTTAAATGTACATTTTTGTGACTGAGGTTCAACTTTAAGAAGGCAGGTGCTCTGCTGAAGCAGTAAGTGATTTAGGGATTGCTGCACACACCACATGTGTTACAATCTGATTGTACAATCTAGTTTAGATCTACCAACAACTATGTAGTGCAAGGGCCTGCCTGATTGGATACTAATTGATTGAATAGATTAGGTAGGTCCTCATATTACATAGTTTTGTTAAATATAAAGTTGAACGTACAGTCAGATTGTAACATGTATAGTAACTCTGAGGGGGAACAGGTCTTCCCTTCAGCAATCAGTAACTAAGGCAAAAGAAGAACTAGGGGAAATAATGTTCCTCAACTGAACATAAACCTTACACTTCTGAATAGTCCAAATAAATACAGCAAACATTTGACTCAAACACACTATCAGGCTGTCATGCTGATCCTCAGGTTTTATTAGTTTTCAAGCCACTCATCCAGAGCCAGTATGATCTGATTTTGCATACTTGTCTCTGTCCCCATTTTGAAGATATTCCCTCACCGCCAGTTCTGCCTGCTACCACTTAAATATACAGGAAATGAGAGGAAGCAGAGAGTAACAAAATGTTAACGTGTTCATGTGCGCGGCTAATGTGAATGATAGCTAACACTGGTTGTCTGGTGCTTTGCTTTAATAATGCATACACATATTAAAATCAGAACAAATTGTTTTTCATTAATCTGTGAGTCACCAGTTAAACTGCAAGATCTGCAAAAACTACATGAAAGTTAGGAGTCAGATTGTGTTTCCAAAAACTTGCAAACACACAAAAAAATTATTTTAGTTTTTGATAGAGTAGGGAAGGGTTAGACCATTTGTCAAGTATTTATGTCTGCCTGTTTCCCTGCTGGGGAGATTCACCCTCTATTTGTCTTAGTGATCATTCTCACTCAAGAATCTGGAACTGTTAGAAGTGACCAAATGTTTTTTTGGGCAAAAGATCAGGTTGCCTGTACTTGGCCCCAATACAGTTTGTAGACCTTATGATAGCATGCAGCACAGTATCGTTTGGGATATCAATGATTGTAAAAAAACTAAACAGACAATACGGGCAGCTACATGTTAAAATTTCTCATGCAGCGTTACATTGCACTGTGCTTTCAAGTTAGATGATTGCATGGTATGAAACCATATATCAGAAATAAAATGGTAAGCTACCTTGAAGTCTCTCTGCTTTTCAAACACAGCAATAACTGGCTTGCTAACATCAGCAATCAACTCATATCGTTCAGATTTCCAGAGATAGTCGACACACAAGTCAAGCTGCTCTACCAGAGTACTCTGTAATGACATAAACAAATGGTGATTTCTAAAATGGGATACATTATGAACAACTAATATACAGTATTCCAGCAGTGCTTACAAATAAAGTACGTAGGATAAAAATGCTAGGGAATACCACAAGCAACAATGAAGCCTGACAGTTTTAAAAGTAATATCAATAATAATAATATAATCAACATTTATGTGGTTTAAAGAGGAACTTTACCAACCAACTTAAAATGACATTAAACTCAGGAGTTAAAGGAGAACTATGGGGTTAAGGCTTTTCCCCATAGTTCTCCTTAGGGTAACGGCAGGACACAAACTAGCGTCCTCCCGTTACCCTAAGCTCAGTATTTAGCGAGCTACAGCTCGCGGTATACTGAGACGGCGCAGCCGGAGCGGATCCCGACGTAGATGACGGGATCCGCCCAGCTGCGTGAGTGACAGCTGGCTCTGCCTATCTAGAGGCAGAGCCAGCTGTACCCGCCCCCTCCCCCGTCCTTTCCGCCAGTCAGCGCTGGCAGATTGGAGCGGGGAGAGGGGAATCCAGCCCCTCCCTCTGTCACGGCAGAGAGCCATGACAGGATCGAGAGGCGAGCGAACCCGGTATGTGTTCGCTCACCTCCCGATCTACTGAGCCGACCTGTGACAGTCTCATTGTCACAGGTCGGCTAGAACTATGAGGTGAGTGAAAAGCACTCACCTCATAGTTCCCCTTTAAATCCTAAAAATGCATTTAGGTACCTTAACTATTAACAAAAATGTATCTTATTTGTGTATCACTCCGCTGTAGATCCTCAAGGCTGCTGCACATATACGCATGTACGTGCGTATTGCGTATTGTACCATATGCAAATAAATGGCTCCATACACACAGCCGCGTATGGAGCCGTATATTTGCGTAGCGCATATATATGCGCAAAAACAGAATGGAACGGAGATGTGTTCAGGCAGCGTATTTACGCGCACATACGCATGTACAGCACATTAAAAATTCCATTACGAGTGATGCATTCTGGGATTGCATATAGTGCACGCATATATGCTTGTATATACGCTGGTGTATATGCGTATTTACGCACATAGACACATATATACGCAATATAAAATTTTGCTTGCGTTGTGTGTGAACGAGGCCCAAATCATCTCTGAATTGGTGCTGACACTGTCCTTCCTTCTGGAGGGTGGCTACTTCTGTTCCCCATGGTTTCTGTGTGTGTTGTAATGCTCCAAGCTCCAAGCTCACTCTTGTGATGGACTACAATCTCACGTTTAGTTTACTAATTTGTATTGAGATGCTAGTCTATCATGGGAGCGAGTTTGGAGAGGTGGCCACTTTACAGCACCTGGTTATTATGTTGATCTATTGTTTTCCGTATTTCCAGAGTCAGTGGCCTGGAACAAGTAGGCAGACCCAATGTTCTGACTTTGGTTGCCATGTACAAGAGGGAACTAGGAAACAAGCATTCCTAGGAGACCAGAAACCACATTCAGCAAATTTCTCTCTGTACAAGTGAAAAAAGACTTGTCCTTGTTGACTAGTTTAAAGTGTCACTAAACTCAGGCGTTAAATCTTGAAGAGGAACTTTACGCATATCTTTAACATAATAACAATCACAACTTTAGAAATGTTTAGTATTGCTAGACATCGGAGCATTTGGGTGAGTACGAGTACTTGCCCAAATACTCGGAATCGGCACTGATATCGATACTAGTATCGGTGCATCCCTAGTAAAGGCAATCTACAAACACATACTTCTAGATAATTGTCGGCTTTGTATTCTTTGCATTCCTTATTTCTCTTGTCTTCCCCAGTCTTCTGACAATGGCCATGTTTACTTATGGCAGATTACTAGCTCTCCCTTTACTTCCTGAAAATCTGGCACATGCGACTAGACATGTGACTAGGCCATGTGACCATGCACATAATCTCAGGGGAGAAAAATGCTTTTCCCTGAGATCATGTGAGATTACAGATGTAATGCTCTGCTGATGACACGGCAATCCCAGTGTGCATTGCGTTGGCAACTGAACTAATTTTGCCCTTCCAAGCAGGAAGTGAATGCTCTGCAAGTGTAAGTGTTCCAAAATCACATCATTTTACACCTGACATGTCTATGTTATTATTATTGGCATACATAGAGGGATGCATTGGTAGAATTTGATTTTTGAGTGTAAAGGTCCGCTTTAAGAATGCATTCAAGTATCTTAACTATTGACAAAAATGTATTCTATTTGTGTATCACTCAGCTGTAGATCCTCAAATCATCTCTGAATTCATGCTGACACTGTCCTTCCTACCTTAAAGTGAAACTAAACTCAGGGTTTAAATCTTAAAAATGGCCCCTGTGCGTTATAAAGTAGTCACTGCTCCAAGCTCACTCTCAGTAAGTAGGAGGTGCAGTTACAGTGTGCGGCTGGGATTAGATGTTTTCTTACCTCATTATATGGGGTATCCTGCATCCCTGAGTCTTCTTTCATTGCACCTTCTTCCCTAATATTTGGGGTAATGCTCTGAAAGGCTGGCCATCCCATGGAAAACAAACCTGCAAATGAAAGGGAATGTTGTCTCCAAACCTATATCCATTTATATATACACACACACACACACACACACACACACACACACAGTATATTATATTATTTCTAAAGGGAAGTTATTTTCCCACACAAAGCAATTTCCTATCTTTCTGGCTAGAAATGATCTACATACATGAGGCAAGCTGAAAAAGCAAGTGTATTCCATCCATACCCAAAGAGCCCACTGCAGATGGAGTACAGTGGTTTAGGAAACAGACCTTAATGAATCTGACTTATTATTAAATATACCTATGCAGCCAACTACCGTAGTTTATGATGTTCTGTGTCACACCTGTGTGAAGGCTTCTATTCATGACCTCCTTTTAATAAGGCTAAGTGCCTGGCGTTCTGAGTCATTGACCTTGAACAAGCACACATATTGGAAAGTCAGAGTGAAGAAAGAATTCCTGATCTGCATCTGTTCTAGTGACTAATAAAGTATTGCAGCCATTGAAGCAGCATGGTAGCCAGACAACTAGCATTTTCAGTAGGGATGCACCGATACTAGTATCGGTATCGGTGCCGATACCGAGTATTTGGGTGAGTACGAATGCTCCGATACCTAGCACGAGTACTTCCTGTATCAGGAAGCCGGGCAGCTCATTACACCCTGACTGGTTTCCTGATTGGCCAGGAAACGGCTCCATGCTCTCTCGTCACTTGTGGCTAGCAAATCCGGAATCCGGGCGCCGTGTAATGACGCAGCGCCCGGCATTCTGATTGGCCGGGAAGCCGGCGTCATGCTCCTCGTCATCTCATGAATCATAATATTAAGAAAGTGACCTTAAAGCATTAGTTTGTATTGCTTTAGAAAAAATTTGACCTGTCCCTTTAAGAAAAAGTATCGGTAATTGGTATCTGCGAGTACTTGATCAAAAGTATCGGTACTCGTACTTGGTCTTAAAAAAGTGGTATCGGTGCATCCCTAATTTTCAGAAATGGCCAACAATGGCATCCTTTTTATTCTCTGACTACAGGTATCCTTTAACGTTATTTATACAGCTAGTGTCAAAAGATCCCTGTTCTGGTTATCAGTATTGGAAAGCAATGAAGCCTAGCCATGTGAAAAATGTCTCTCCTCCTTTCTCCTCTGCATGTGATCCTGCTTCCTATGTAGACATTCCCCACTAAAATCAAACAGTTTTCATTTTTAAAAATGGGAGTATCAAGAGCAAATCACCAGAACAATTCACATAAAGCTACATTTTAAAAGGAGGGCTGTCTAGTACTGTATACTTAACAATAAATGTCCTAACTACCATCCACCAAAAACAAAATGATTCATCTGGATACAAATCTCCTTCACCTTAGAACAGCAAGTTAAAAATAATAAGCTGATGAAAGGATGGACATGACACATGCAGGGTTAGTGAACTCACTCTTTGCACCGATGGAGATTAGTAATTGATTAGAATCAGAAGTATTTTCCTCTTCCAGCAGCATGCTTGGTGTCTGATTGGTTTCATTTTTCCAGTAACCTATGGCAGGTCATAATGATTGAGTAATGTTATCGTACAACATTGTTAGTGCATGCATGGAACGATCATTGAAATGGGTTAGAGTAAAACATCTAAATTTGTTTCTAATAAGAATATACCTATACATTAAGAGGTGTCTAACAAACTACTGTTTCAGTTTGCTTAGTGAATTTATGGTTAAATTGAAACGTGTGCAGGAGAAATTCCATGTTTTCTAACATTTCCTTCCAAATGATTTAATGCTATAGGTAAACAAAGAAACCCGTTTAATACATCGACTAAAAGCTGCAATGCAGGACTATATGTGGTCATGTATGTGATCATTTATGTATTGCAACCAATAGTAATCTTTGTAGGTTGCAAGACCTGGTCGCTTACACTGTTATCTCATTTTAAATCCTATAAACTACAATGTAGACACAAGTATATTCTCGTATTAATTTATATATGTATACGGTATACATGTGTCAATATTTATCAAGAAGAAAATGGTATGACTAAGGCTCAACCCCTTTCATAGTCTGTACTGTTTAGGGTCTCTGCCTCTCCTCAAGGTCTGAGCAAGGAGTAGAGCCCTGAAATGCATCAGTAGTGGTGATAGCGCCTTTTTCTAAGCGTGATGGCAGCATTGTTTTGGATATTGCTTCCAGCAAGTATCATTCTGCCTAATCAACTCCTCCACTCTACTTGTCTGGCTGCAATATAGATGGCTGAGTGTTCCCTTCTGCATCCAATCTCATTCAGGCTGCTAATTCATGGCAAGCTGCAATCTTTCCATGCCCATTTTCCAGTGAACCATGTAAGTACAACATATTGTTTATGTATTGTTTATGTATATTAAGAAATTGAGTGATCTATACAGTCCTATGTGTTCTTTTCATTTCTTTGATCTGTTAAGTTTCTTTTTATATTTTGACACAATAATACATCCAGTCATTAACGTGAGCGCAGTAAAGAGAGAAGAAAGGGTAATTTAAGTGGATATTCTCATCTAGATAGTTCTTACCTTTCCGTTTCAAATACTCAGCAATCAGTGCGGCAATGTGAACGTAACACATGGCTGCCTGAAAAAACATTAGAAAATAACAGTAGACTTTTGTTTACACTAATCTTTGTCTTTAACAATTGATAAATTAATGATTAATAATAGTTTAAAAAAAAGTATTTTTTAAAGGCAGAATATTACACATAAAAAATTTAAAGTAATACAAACATGACAACATCATACATAAGGAGATACTATGAAATGATAGAGGTCACAGTACATTTTGTTTTATAAAATATTTATTTTCACATTTTTCTCATTCTTTGTTGCACTTCAGTGCTGCTGTTCTCCTGCAACTACTTCCTGTCTATATGCATGCACTCAAGTGATGGCTGCATACTATTTCTCAGGGTGGGTTTCCAGATGGTGACAACATTGGACCATGGCTGCAAATTGTTTGTTTCAGTGGCCACCAGTTGTTTCCATTGTAAACCTGTGTGACAGGGTGACAACTTACAATAAGGAGAAATACACGGAGCATTGGATCCTATAACTGGAGGTCCCTAAACAAGGACCTTCATGGCAGGATGATCAGGTATGATTTTATTACATTAAAGTGTTAGAGCTTATATAAGATTTTAGTGATTGAATTTCCATGTACTTAAACAATAACAAACGTGTGTGACATTGCTAGCCACCATATTTGAAGTTTATTAATTGCCAATTTGTTAATGGTTCTGGATGAGGTGGAGAATAAATAGACCCTATTAGGTTTTACTGCTATCTGGGGCTCCATTAGAGAGATTTTACCTCACTTACTGTCCTGGGACAGCCTTTTCACCAGACAGGAAGTTATGTGAACTTTCAAATAGCAGCACAGGCAGTATTACATTTGTAGGCACATAATGGAACTCCAACCAGCTTTTTGTTGTTGTCTGTTTCCTTGTTGCAGATTTTCCCTCCCTTTGTCCCCAGAAAATATCTCTATCAGGGTCGTGGATAGCAGTGAAACTGGACACGGGTTCCAACCCTTCCCTACTCTATCAATGACTAAAAAAAAAGTTTTGGTCACAGATACATTTTATATTTTTACTAGGGATGCACCCATACTGGTTTTTCGGTATTGAGTACCGATATTTTGCTTTCAGTACTCACCGATACCGAGTACCGATACTGGTGCTTCCCCTGGCATGGAGCCGGCTCCCCAGACAATCAGGAAGCCTGGCGGCGGGTAATGACATGGCGCCCAGCTTCCTGATTGCCCAGGTAGCCGGATCCATGTTGTTTGGCCGGATCAACTGTGATTGGCTGGGAAACTGGCTTCCCAGCCAATAAGCATGAAGCTGGCACCTGTGAGCATCCATAAGCAATCGTCACCTCTTTCCCTCTCTACTCACCCTGCTCTTCATGCCCTCTATCCACCCCATAATTTACAATTCATGCAACTCCATGATTTTTAAAGGTTTTAGTTTCCTACTGAATCAGCTGGTCCCCGAGCAGTGGTCCTGATATCCTGATTTAGAGTGACTCCTTTCCCTTGCAGGGTCCTATGGAGCTACTCTTGTGTGTGCTTTTAAGCTGCGTGTGTTTCCACAAACACACAAGCACAGCAAGGCAAGACACTCCATGCTCTCCTTCCCCCTCCCCCCTTTTCCCTTCTCCAAGCTAGTAGATGGACAGCTTCTGGAGACTTCTCTGTCCCTCGTTATCTTGTAGTGGACACGAAGTTCAGGGAAGCCAAGCTGTGAGAGTTAGAGACAGCTGTTTGAAAACATGATGAATGTAAATGCTAGGACAGAAATGTAAAGAAATACTTGGCAAAGTATTTATGGGCAAAGTATAATTGTTTGAACTAGATTAATAAAAAAAAAAGTTTGAGAGTTTAATACTACTTCAAATATTTTGGGACTGATTTACTATAGCAGTGAATTTCCGGCCCAGTATTCACATCAGATATCCAATTAGGTTCAGGGGAAATTTCCTAGCAATCTGGGTAGCTGAAGGGAAAACAAGCAAGGGTGAAACTCACTCTGTTAGTAAATCAATCCTCTTGTGTGTTTGCCTAAACATATCGCTATACTGTGCTGACACGAAGAGCACTTTACACTTACACTGAACCATGATACTGGAATTTAATTCCTGGTTTAGACAGAAACAGAAATTCATGGCTATAATACATCTTTTTTAAGTGCACATGAAAAAGGCCACTTGCCATGACAATTTTAATTAACCTTGCAGCAGAGAACCAGGAAGGCACAACTGTGTATGTTCCCAGTTCTCAGGCCCATTGTAAAACTGTAACACAAATAATAAAGTTCCTGTCAAGTTAACTGACACATGCTGACAATGCTTAACTTGGTCTGGGCATCTAAGTTTCGAAAAACTTTGCTTACAAAAGGGTTAAATCATGGTTAATTCCGGCACATCACAGTACATACGAAAATTCTCTTTAATTTCTGCCATGTCATAGGACCATGTTGAAGTTTCTTCAAGCGTGGTTATACCACAGGAAATTGTAAGAAACTACATGTTGAAAACGCATAGTTGGAAATATAACAACAAATCAGTCAATTTCTAGAGTCATATATTCCAGTTGTCAACCATAAAAGGGAAAAGTTTATGTTGGAAGCACAGTCCTGAACATTAACGCACCATGCACTGCCTAACTGGAACCATCTGTTTTCGAGTCTTGAACTCAGAGACATTTAGCACTGGCTATTTTGTGTCTAGACAATGGCTTATTCTCACATAAGTGTTTCAGATCTGATTGGTATCATTTCTTGGTTGTATTATTTTCAAGATATTTTTTCTATTCTCAGTCAACAAACCCATACAATCTGACATGTGGTAAACCACGCGTTCAAAGGGAAAAAGCAGATGATGTACACTGCCAGGGAATTGTAGTCACCTTGGCAAGCGAGAAGAAAGGAGAGCTGTATATTTACACGCTAACTCCCTTGGACAAAGGTACAAAATGTTACTTTATTCAATTCAGGTCACCAATTGAGCCATGAAACTAATGCGGGAATAGATAAACTACAGTTATTTACTCACGAATGAAAATGGAAAGCTGGCGACCAGCACACTCATTTAAAGTAAACCTGCTCCAATCCTGGACAATTCATGGTCAAGCATATAATGATAAATATGTCAGTAGACATTTGTGTCAGTACAAACCACATGTCACAATGATCAGCAGATCCCCCCAAAAAAGCAGGCAGCTGAGTTTATATGTATATCTTGGCTATTTTCTGATTACCATACCCTGCTTCACTTCCCAAGCATCCCTACTGGTCCAAGGGGTCCCATGTCACATTAAAAGACTAATAAGGAGGCTCAAAATGTGTCAAGGGTGGGACCAAGCTTTACAGGGAACATCCAGCAACACACAGTGCAAAAGATTTTAATCTTTTGTACTGTATGTTCCTGGATATTTAATAAACATTCTTCTATTTTGGACAATGATGATCAGCGCTGGCATTTGGATCTTATGCTTTGCAAAGAAGGCAAGCTTTTGACATAAATGAAAGTGTGTCCGAGGCAGAAGATTCTTCAGATGACAGCACAGATCTAGGGCACAGGTAACGGGGCAGATACATAGAAAGTCTTCTTTCGAGGGGCCCCCTTTTTTTAAAAATAATATCACTGTACAACTACACAACTCTTTTAGTAAAGAAATGCCTTGTAAAAGGTAACTGCTCTCAACTTTCTAAATAATATGAATCAGTTAATAGCTGGAGATGTCTGTTTTCCTTTAAATGAACAGTTACAATATGTTTTAACTCTGTTTAGAAATGGTAAATTGCCATCTGGAATGTAACTCTTTTCCAGACAGTAAACTCACTGTAAATATGAAATGTATATAGTGGGTGCAGATGGTGAATATACACAGTGACATATCACAAGCTACAGTGTTATATGAGACATATGGGAATGTTTCCTGTAACCCAGAGATTCTGTGTAACTAATGCAGAAATAAATAAAGAAAAAATAAGAGAGAGAAAGCAGATGGTTTTACCTCTGATAAGTCTCCATTTCTGGCATGGATTTTGGCCATGCTCTCCAGCCAGGTCCTACGTAGCTCTGGTGTGCTGGCATAAGAGTTTGCCAAGCTGTACTGAAGGTCCACAAGCATCTCTGGATCTTTCTCATGTTCCTTCATCTGGGCGGTTGCCATTAAAACTGTTCTAATCCTCTTGGTTAGATCTTTTACCTCTGCTGGAAACAGGGTATTCTAGGGAAAAGAAAACATACATATCTATTTATTTTAAACTGCATTTATTTAGGACAGGCTATACATGAGTCTTTTAGCTTTTCTTAACTGTAAAAATCCCCTTCAGTGATTGCTGTCTGGGTTTTAAACAAACATCCTACAGAAAATGTTAAAACATTTTTCTATACAAATCATGTATTCAGTCATTGCAATTTGTACAATTGTGAAGACTAAAAAAATATGGAAAAGGACACAATTGCTAAATTCTCTCCACTGCAGTTTACACAAACAGTGCTCAAATAACATATTTGGAAGCCAATTAAATGACTAGTATGCTTTTGAACTACAGCAGGTAAATTGAGGACCTACAAAAGACCCATGCAAACACAGGAATATACACGCATCATACAGTCACATGGACCCCACCATTGCAAGGCAACAGTAAACACCACTATGTTAGCAGAGAACTTTGCTGACAAAATCATACAAGAGCTAAACGAAATATTACACGTGTCTGATACATTTGATACAAAAATACACAAGGCTCAGTGTCCACAAGTTCTTGCCATGAGTTTGTTTAACACTGCACCTGGATCTTCATATTGAACATTGACTGCGGGGTCTTGCTGCAACTGAGAGTGTATTCTGGTTCATTTAAAGCGCTCACTTTGGCAAGCCCCCC